GCGTAGAGACGGAACAGAACTCGATGCTTTGCACGGCCAGGAACGTTCACTTAGCGCGTCGCGCCGCTGGTTCTGGCCCACCACGCCGCGGCGGGCGCGCCGCGCTGACCACGTCCATGTCCTCGAGCATCAGCGGCTCTCGGCCCCCCGCCCCACGGAGCGGAGCGACACGCGATCTGCTTACGAGGCGCAGCGTGCCGCTGGGGGGGCCACCGACGCGATGCGCTGAGCAAGCCTTTCCCAACGCATGCAGTCAAATTTCTCCGTGATGGGCCTGTTTTCCACCACCACCACCATAAGTTGGAGGGGGAAGGGGTCCTCCTCCTCCTCCTCCTCCTCGTCCTCCTCTTCCTCCTCTTCCTCGTCCTCCACCTCCTTCCCCCCTCCAACTGATGGTGGTGGTGATGGTGGAAAACAGGCCCATCATCCGCCCTCCCTGGAGCCCAGCCCAGCGCTGCCCACCTTGCCGAGCGCCGCGCCGTGCACGCTTTTGCCCGTCCGCCTCGGCGGGGCCGCCTATTTGCGCGCCGCCTCGCTCGGCGGCGGGATCTGTAGGGTCCAGCGGCCGTGTTGGGGCGGGGCGAGGCGTGGTGGGTGAGGATGGCGCGATCGCTTGGCTTCCGAGCGCAGGTGCGCGGGTGCGCAGCTGCGGCCATGTGGTGAGCGTGCTGGGCGGCAGTCTGAGCTTGCTGGTCGCCTCGCTGGGAGTACGAGAGTGGGCTGCTGGGCTCGAAGGCTTTCGCCCTGTTGCTGTTCGGTGCCGTCCTCTGTGCGCCGAGGGCGGCGCTTTTTGTGCGCTTGCGGGGTGGCCGCCGCGTTTGCCCGAGTCGTCCGGGGGCCGCGTGCGACAGCCTCCCTGAGGAGGGCGGCGCGGGGAATGGAGCATGTGGAGCTCGAGATGCACGTTAGTGTTCGGCTGGGTGCTGAGGATATGGCACCACCATTACCGCTGCAGTTGCAGCTGCCGACACGCTTCCCCACCACTGCCACTACGACCACCAAGACCAGTACTGTTGCGACCTCCATGGCCACCACCACACGCAACCCGAAGACCCGCGCTCGACCTTCACGACGGGGTCTGCGGCGGCGGCAATGCCACAGCGGCACCGAACGCTAATACAGCTGCTGCTTCGACATTCGCGCCACTGCACCAACCTCCACAACATCGTCTTCGACGGCGGATGGTGAGCTACATCGCTACTCCAGCATTCACGTGCGTAGAGTGTCTGAGCATCATCCCAAGAACCATCAGCACGACGGTGAGCATCAGCATGACTCCAGTATCAAACTATTTGCGACGCGTCTAGGAGCAGCATCGCAGGAACTGTCAACACTACAGCGAGCACTACCACGGCTCCGACGTCCACATCTAGTTCGTCCCTGAGCACCCCCTCGGGGACCAGAAACACGATGATGATGATGATGATGATGATGATGATGATGATGATGATGATGATGATGATGATGCTGCTGCTGATGCTGATGCTGATGCTGATGCTGATGCTGATGGTGATGGTGATGGTGATGAGGATGAGGATGAGGATGAGGATGAGGATGAGGATGAGGATGAGGATGAGGATGATTATGATGATGATGATGATGATGATGATGATGATGATGATGATGATGATGATGATGATGATGCTGATGATGATGATGATGATGATGATGATGATGATGATGATGATGATGATGATGATGACGATGAGCAGCATCACGATTCCGACGCTCACAGATGACGTTCCTTGAGCAGCATCTCAGGGGCCATCAGCACGATGCAGAGCAGCATCACGACTTCGCCACGCACATTGGACCAGCATCGGTGCGTCAAACTTAGGACCATCAGCACGATGGCCAGCAGCATCACGTCTCCGACATTCACGTGCCTCACATGCATGAGCAGCACGACGGTGACCTGTATGACTCCGACATCCACATGTAACGCGTCTCGGAGCAGCATCTCGGTGACCACGAGCACGACGGGAGGCACCGGCAATATTCCGATATCCACATGCGACATGCCCAGGAGTAGATTCTCGAGGGCCACCACCACGACCGCGAGCACCAGTGCGACTCCGAGGTCCACATGTGACACGTCTTTGAGCAGCGCCTCGGGGACAGGCAGCACGGTGTCGAGCGGCATCATAATGAGATTTCCGAACATGGGATGAAGTTGCGCCTGCTGGGAGGGGGGACTCTTGCCTCTGATGCGAATCGGTCAAGCCGACCCTACGGACCGTAGGCTAATCCAGCTGCCTGCGGCAAGCCCCGCCACCGCGCTTGTGCAATAGCGTAGCAGGAAGGAATTTAGATTCACAAGGCCTCGAGTACTCTCACCAACCCATCCAGGAACGATGCCCAGTGGGAAGGCGTGGGCCAGCCACCTCTCGTGGCGGCTGCTGCTCCTTAACCGAAGCAGAACAACGGCATACATATAAGCTGTCGGAGGTCCGCGCGGACCTCCGAAAGTTTATGCTTTTGCATTTTTCCGTCCTACACTTGATTCACCGCTGACCTGGCGCCCAAGAAGCTGAGCAGCAGCACCGCGAAGGTGAAGATCTGCGCCGCACCCAAGCAGCCCGAGTAAACGCTATTGCCGCCGACGACTGAGCAAGCGCCATCGGTGATGCCCACCAGCGGCGTCGCCCAGCTCGCGGCAGGAAGCCGACGGCACCGACTACGGACCCCGTGGCCGATCCAGAGCGAGGGGCTGGCGAACTGGGCGGAGAGTGGAGGGTGCTATGGGCTTCTGCCGACGCCACGACACCCTGGTGCGCGCCGACTGCGTCGGGCAGCCCGCGCGGCAGCACTCCAGGGCCGACGGCCGTGCTCCCGCGCTGGGCAAGCGCTTCTCCGTACTCGCCGCCCAGCACTCCGCTTGAGCCTCATCATCACGGCCGTGTCCTTCATCGTCTCCTTCGCGCGTGCCATCAGCCCTCCATGTCTCCAATTCCCTTATGGCTTGCCTCCCCCTTTTCCCTTCTCACGCTCTTCGACCTTCCCCTTCCCTCCCCTCGGCTTATCCATCTGCTTATCATGGTTGTTCGTTGATGTAACGTCCGACGGTCTGTTCCACCTATACGACCACCCTGCGGGTGATAAGGAGGTTTGGGGGGGCAGCAATGGGCAAAAGTGGTGATTGTTGTTCTGACGATACCAGTGGTGCGGAGTCTAGTGAGTAGTGTGGATGTGCAAATCGATTTGCATTTCGATGTGCTTTTCGGTCTGCATGTCAGTTTGCATGCAGACTTGCATTGGATAGCTCGCCGCAAGCGGCGATGTTTTGAAATGCGCAACCCACGGCGGGACACCGGCGGGACACCAGCGGCACACGGCGGGCCACCGTTTGACGGGAGGAGCATCATTTGGTTCAGCCGCGGCCCAGCCACAAGAGGCTTTCGGGACACCAGCGGGACACCAGCGGGACACCGCGCGGCGCCAGCCGCCGGAGGAGAAACATTTGGTCTGGCCGCGGCCCAGCCACAGGAGGTCCTCCTGGTCCCGAAATCCTCCTGAGGAGGATTTCGGGACACCCGCGGGACACCGGCGGGACACCGCGGGGCACCGGCCGCCGGAGGAGTTACACTTGGTCTGGCCGCGTCCCAGCCACAGGAGGATTTCGGGACACCCGCGGGACACCGGCGGGACACCGCGGGGCACCGGCCGTCGGAGGAGTTAAATTTGGTCCGGCCGCGGCCCAGCCACAGGAGGATTTCCTCTCGCCCCCCCACGCAGCTTCGCCTCGCCCGCACGCACGCACGGCACGCACGACACGAACCCGAAACCGAAATCGATTTCCCAGTAGGGGGGGTCTCCGTTTCACGTCGGACTCACCCCCCAACCTCCCACTGAGGCTGATGCTGACTTTCGGATCTCGATTTACCGAATTAGACTGTAAACATGCTCCTCCCTTCGAAGCTGTCGTGCCGATGTCGATGGCTCAGCACCGCAAATACGCGTGCACATATCCCTGATTTCCGACGTTGCGAGCAAGCACAGTAGCGTGAGAAATCACGTCTTCTGCGGCAGCTCTCGAGCCAGATCGATCCGTGAGGGCCCCGGGGCTGGAAGCTGGGCGCAAACGCCCAGCGTGAAAAAGACGCGACGCCTGGACCTCAGGGATGCCCGGCGCCGGACCCCCGAGGTGCGTTGGTCGACTAGACCTAGACGTAAGAGTGACCCTTCGCCAGAGTGACCTTTGGTGCGGGCCCGTTGGGGTCCCCCGATCGCCGAATGCGATGCGATAGCAGCGTCTTGCGCGCTTGGGTCTGGTCCCCCCGCGGTCCCCCGAAAAGCCGCGCAACAGGGGTCACTCTTACCCAGGGCCACTCTTGCGTGTAGCCGAGTTGGCTGCGAGCTCTCCCCGTGGGCCGTGGGCTCAGCACTCGCCTCCGCTGGCCTCTGCCGAGGCCGAGGTGGCCATCCCCCGATGCCTCGAGGGCGAGGCCCAGTCTTCGGGGGCGGCCAGGAGGGGGGTGATGACCAGGGGGGGCGGGTATGGATATCATGGCGTGGGCCATGATATTTCCTCAGATTTCATGGCGCCTCTTCTTATTTCATTGCGTCCCTGGCCCCCCCCATGAGCCGCGCACATGCCGCTGGCCATGATTTGCGCCCCCCCCTCTTGGACGCCCCCCTCTTTGCCGCTCCCGATGTCTGGAAGACCCCATCTGATGCGGTAGGTTCGCGCCAGGTCGACGCGGCGGCGACCCCAGCGCGGGTGTTTAAGGCTGAATAGTGTCGGTGGCCAGAATTCAGCCGATGTCGAGACATCTGCGCTATCGGACAGCGGCGATCCTTCAAGGTTGAACAAGCCACGCGGTGGAAGAGACCAACGCGCAAGTCGTCACTACCAGAATTGGCCGTACATGGCACATCTCCCCTCCCGCCCCAGAAGTCAATTTTGCAGAGGGTCCTTCTTTTGGCAGCCAAATTCCCCAGAGGTGAGGCGTTTTCCAGAACGCCTTACATAAACGCCCCCAGCGCCTGGTCGCCCCGAGGTCGCAGCTACCCACCACGGCGTCGCGGCGAAGATTGCCGCTGGGGCCTCCGCCATATCCCTGCCGGCGGGCATGGCTCGCCCCGCGCTCAGCGGCCGCCTGCTGCTGGAGGCCCCCGCTTCTTTGATTCGACATCGTCGTTGTCGTCGTCGTCGTTGTCGTTGTCGCCGTCGTCGTCGTCGTGGTCGTCGTCGTCGTCGTCGTCGTCGTCGTCGTCGTCGTTGTCGTCGTGGTCGTTGTCGTCGTCATTTTGACGACCTCGGTCGTCGACGTCGTTCTCTGACGTCGATCGTCGTCGTCGTCGACGACGGCGATCAACGGCGTCAACGTCGATGTGGTTGATGATTCGCAATCGTTGTCGTTGATCGTCGTCGTCGCCGCCGCCGCCGTCGTCGTCGTCCTTGTCGTCGTCGTTGTCGTCGTCGTCGCCGCCGTCGTCGTGGTCGTCGTCGTCGTCGTCGTCGTCGTCGTCGTCATCGTCGTCGTGTCGTCGTCATTTTTGACTCGAGACTGTCGTCAAGAGCTGGGGTCGCAGGCAAGCCGACTTCTTCTGCTTGTTCCTGGACTTGGCCCGTTTCACTCCAGTTTTTCAGCTCTGGCCGTCGGAGGAGGGAAACATACCAATACCAATGCCAATACTCTTTTCTCGTTATCTTCTTTTTGGGCCTCCTGGGGGTCCCGGGGTTGGATTGCTTCGAAACTCTGTTCAGAACGCACCCCGAGAGAGGTCTGGGGAGAAGTGGTATTGTTTTTTTCTTGCCTCCTCAATCACGTCCGTCTCGCGGTCTTTCCAGCATCAGTCAGTTTTTCCAGTCGGGTCGCTGTGATTTTTACGGAATTCGCAGCTTCACTTGTTCCAGCTCCCCTGCAATAGATCCAGTGCTGGTGGCTTAATGTCGGGCGGGTCGCCAATCTCTTGTCCCTTCGTGCAGCTGTCTGGCCGTCGTTTCACACACAGTTTTTGAAAGCGCTGTGCAGCAGGTTTGCGGAAAGGGAGCGCTGTCACCTGAGGCGTGCCCTCGTGCCGCAGCGTTGTCATGAATTGGAGTAGCTGCCTGCATTTCCGCCCTGGGCAGCGCACGTCACAGGTATCATCCAGGCCGTTACTCTGCTGATTGCATGGGGGTCTTGCGCACACATGCGTAGCTGGCAGAGTGAAGCAAACAGCCTGCAGATCTCTCGCTTTCTCGCACAGCTCTCTCATCCATGCCCATTCCCAGTCTGGCTCGAAGGCTGTCGCGAAGACGAGGTGCTCCGCTGTATTTCCATGCCCGCCCGGGTCGGTGTACGAGTAGGTACACCGAGTCGCCGAGGATAGCGGTCGGGTGGTGAGCCTCGAAGCCTGACGGGTTCTCGATGGGGTGATTCCCGTCCGTGCGATGAGCGCGGAACTGCTGCATCACAGCGCGGCCGCGCCACAGTCTCTCGGGTGGGGTTGGGGTCAAGCCAGATGCGGCGGTCTGGGCAGAGGTCGGCCCGCGCGATCGCCTTGCGCGTCCCGCCAGCGCGCGGGCTCATCTTTCTCCTTTTCGTGACTCTCCCTCCTTCGCCTCGTCCTCACTCGAAACGCAGATCTGGGGGATGCTGGCGAATCGATGCTGGACCTCCCTTTAGGGCCGATCCTGTCCCAGCCGCGTGGCCGGTAAATAGCGTAAATGCATGGGCCAGAATGAAGCCCTTGGAATCGCTCGGACGTGTGTATTTTTTCTCAGCGAGGACCATTGAGGCGCATGCTGGACCATCTGGCAACAAAGCACGCACGACACCACCGAACAAAAATGCACGGCGAATGGACGTCCGAGCGATGGCAAGAGCCAGAGTGCGTGGGTCAGCATTTCGTGGATTGGGAGGTGGTTGCTGATGTCGGGCTGGATGGTATGGACGGGGAAGAGCGTGCATATCTGGCATGTGATGCTCCGCGTGTTTCCACTTTCAGCTTGTGATGTCTTAGCGACGGAGGCGCGTATTGGTTCCTTCAGGCGTTGAAGGGTGTGGACGTCGTGCTTTTTTCATTCTTGGGTGCAGCAACGCTTTGGCCGTTCTCGCTGCGTTCTTGCCTAACAATGGGTGATTTTTGATGCCTTTTGAAAGATCGGTGCACAGTGTTCGTGTGCAGTCATTTGTTACGTGTTATGGCGTGTGCATTGCGTTGTCTGAAGCGCGCTTGGGAGGCGTTGGTGGATAGCAAGGTGGGCCTCATCTGCTTCAAATGGCATGTGTCCCATTGCGTATTTCAGAATTGCCCGTGTCAGACGAGCGGCGAGGTGGCTGGACATTCCTCGCGCGCTGCAAGGTTTCCAGGAATGTCAGTGTGTCAAAAGCCGTTGGCGGCTTTGATTTTAGATTGGCTACCTGCTCTCAGTACATATTCAGAGCCTAAAGACATGGTTGGGTTCATTTTCCTTCTGAGATCACGTGTCGGCAACAGCGGGCGTTCCATTGACACTCGCGCAACGGGCCTGCTGCCAGTACCTAGCCACTTTGCTGTTCAAGACTCAAGAACAACATCGTAAGGCTATTATCTTGATTGTCAGTGCTATTGCAGCTGCACTCGCAACTGCAAGTGCAATCGCACTTGCGCTGTAAACTGTAGTGGCACACTGTGACGTGTATCCAGCTGCCCGCGGCAAACGTCGGCACCGTGCCAGCGCAGCAGGGACGAACACCGCTCAAGAAAGCACTTCCTCCCGCTCCAGGGGTCTCTGGAGCTCTCCGCAGCTCTCTGGAGGCCTCCGCATTTGGAGGCCTCCAGAATTCTCAGAATTTCAGTCGAAACTCTTTTCGGAGGCCTCTGGAGGAGGTGCAAACGGAGAGGATCCTCTACCCTCCGCTGCGACCACGATTGCGTCGGCGGCGGCGACGACGACAGGCTTCCCAAACATCCCCAAACATCGAGACCCGAAGAGAGCTGATAATGCCCAAGCGCCGCAGTTCTCGATTCTCGATTCTCCTCCTCCTCGTCCTCTGGGCCTTCCTGCGGCCCCCGCCAGGCCGACAGCCTCGTCGCCGTCGTCGTCGTCGTCGTCGTCGCCGTCGTCGTCGTCGTCGTCGTCGTCGTCGTCGTCGTCGTCGTCGTCGTCGTCGTCATCGTCGCCGCCGCCGCCGCCGCCGCCGCCGCCCCTGCCGTCGTTGCTACCGTCGCTGTCGTCGCCGCCGCCGCCGTCGTCGTCGCCGCTGCCTGCCTCGCCGACGAGGAGGCGTCGCCGCCGTCGCCGCCGCTGCCTGCCTCGTCAGCGAGGAGCCGTCGCCGTCGCCGTGCCTCGCCGCTGGCCGCCAGGCCGCCCTCGCCGCGCCCGCGGGCGGCGGCGCCGTCGTGCTCCTGGCCGAGGAGGCAGAGCTCCGGAACGTCGCGGCCTGGCTTGCGAGTTCGGCGCCCGCCCAGCAGGCGCGCGCCGCCGCCGCCGCCACCTCCGTCGCAACCGCCGCCGCCGCCGCCGCCGCCGTGGTCGTCGTCGACGACGCCGCCGCCGCCGCCGCCGTCGTCGTCATCGTCGTCGCCGCCAGCGCCGCCAGCGCCGGCGCCGGCGCCGTCGCCGTCGTCGTCGTCTTCGTCGCGCCGCCGCCGCCGTCGTCGTCATCGTCGTCGCCGCCAGCGCCGCCGGCGCCGGCGCCGGCGCCGTCGCCGTCGTCGTCGTCTTCGTCGTCGTCGTCGTCGCCGTCGTCGTCGTCGTCGTCGTCGTCGTCGTCGTCGTCGTCGTCGTCGTCGTCGTCGCCGCCGCCGCCGCCGCCGCCGTCGTCCTCGTCGCCGTCGTCCTCGTCGCCGTCGTCGTCGTCGTCGCCGTCGTCGTCGTCGTCGCCGTCGTCGTCGCCGTCGTCGTCGTCGTCGCCGTCGCGGCTCACGGGCGGCGGGCGGCGCCGGTCGCCGAGGGCCGCCGTCGTCGGCCTTCGGGGGCAACGTCACGAGTTCGGGGCTCGAGGTTCGAGGATGTCTTCGCGGCCCGAGGCTCGAGGTTCGGGGGCAACGTTCGGGGGTTCGAGGCTCGAGGCAACGTTTTTCGGGCGCTCTCGCCGGGTCTTGGCGGTGGTCCAGTCGGGATGCCTGCTCGCAGCTGCGCCTCGCCGAGAGCGTTCTGGGGGTGCGGGTGTTCGGATCGTCCCGATCGGCCCTCGGAGAGCCGATTTGTGGCCAGGAGAGCAAGGGGCAGCGTTAGGTGGGGCAGAGGCTCATGGGGGAAGGCATCGACCCCCAATCGCGTATCCATCGCCGACGGACTCGCTATCGGGGACTCATCGCCGACGAGTCGGCGATGTATCGCAGATTCCAGCTTGATGTTTCTCCCCCTGAGCCGTTCCCCCCCCCCCGAACGTTCCCTGTCACGGTCGCCGAGGGCCGCCGTCGGCCGTTCTCGGCGGCGGCGCGAAGATCGGTGGCGGCTGCGCCGTCGTTGGCGTCGTCGTCGCCGGGGAGGACGGTGAGGGCGGCGGTGTGCCTTCGCCGCTGGCCTGGTCCGCCGCTGGCCTGTTCTCGCTCGTCGCTCGCTCGTTCGCGCGCCCCGGAGTGCGCCCCGCCGCGCCCGCGGCGGTCGGGCACTTCGGCGGGCGGAGGAACGCTCGTGGAGCGCGACACGCAGAGACGCCGTGCGGCGGTCCAGCGGTGCTCCAGCGGGGGCAGCGCCATGCACCTGCTTTCGCGCTCTGGCGGGTGACCTGCGAGAGGTCCGTGCCGTGCCGGCGCGGCGGCGACCCCAGCGCGGGCGTTCGAGGTTGAACTCGCCAGCCCTCAGCCGGCCAATGCCGAACGATCTGCGCTATTAGATAGCTTTAAGTCGGGCCTGTCCTCCTTCCTACAGGGGGATTGCCGACGAGAAGTAAAGAATAGTCAAAACATGCCCCCAAATGGTCCCAAAACGCTCTAAACATCGCCAGACTATCTCTTGACTGTTTTTGAACATTCCTCCTGTAGAGGGACAGACCCGACTCAAGGATAGCTTCAACTAGACGTAAGAGTGGCCTTTCGCCGGAGTGACGTTTGGTGCGGGCGCACTGTGGCCCCCCGATCGCGGGACGCGACGCGGCAGCGGTGGCCTGCGCGCCTGGGCGTGGCCCCCCCGCGTCCCCCGTGAAACCGCGCACCGAAGGCCAGTCGTGCCCAGGGCCAAGTCGGGCCTGCCCCTCTGCAGGGGGAATGTTCAAACATAGTTTTTAAAAGTAATCAGGGGGCGATCTATGACAATGTTTGAGCATTTGTTGGGCATTTTAGGGTTATTCTTTCTTTTTTCGTCCAAAATCCCCCTTGTAGGGGGACATGCCCGACCTCAGCCTAGGGTCGCTCTTGCGTGTAGCCGATGTAGCTGTGATCGCTCAAGAACGAGAAGTCCACGCGGTGACACAAACCAGCGCGCAAATTCGTCACGACGCGAGCTGGCCGTAGTCCCACCCGATCTAGTCCCACCCGTTGTGGCGGGTGGCCCAGTCCCACCTGGTGCCCACACCTGGTCCCGCCTGATCCGCCCACTTCCCCAGCCCTTCGACACCGTACTTCGTCACAACGTGGGCATCCAGAAACGGCTTTTCATCAACACCGTTTTTTGATTGTCTTGGGGCCTAGTAACAAAGGGAGCTCCGTAGTATTGTTTCCCGATGCGAGGAGTTCGGGGTAGCCCCCCCCGTTCCAGCGGGCGGTCGTCACGTCGTTGGTCGTTGGGTCGCAACGGCGTGAACCTGCCGCAGTGCTACCCGCCCCCGCTTGATTTCAGGAGGGAACAATCTGCACAAACAAACATAAACGTATGGACAAGTATGGGGAATGGCGAGAAAATCGAACAGGCATGAAATATACGAGAACTTTGGGCATCCGGAAATTTGTGTGGATTTTTTCGTACTCCCCTGGGCCCCTTTTATGACTTACGGCAGGTTCGTGCCGTGTCGACGCGGTGGCGACCCCCGCGCGGGTGCTCAAAGTTGAGCGCCGCCAGCTTCCCCGCATCGACCAGCATGGCACGATCTGCGCCGTCGGAAGGCGCCGAGGCTGGAACATCCAAGCGGTGTCGGAGACCAATGCCGAAGTCGCCGCGACGCGAACCCGAGCATCCGACGGTGTGAGTCTGTCACTCCGCGGCCCCCGAGCTCCCGACCTCCTCCACGAGGCCGTTTCTCGTACCGGGTCCGTTCTGGCTGGCCCTGGGGCCCGACAGCGAGCCCCGGAGGCCGAAGTCCAGGAACACCGCGGGGGGTGAGCGCGGCACGCCTCGGTGGCGCGCCCCGGGGGGGGGGGGAAGCGAGAAGGAGCAGGCCTGCCCAGAGGGCGGCGGGGCTCCTCGGACCCCCCTTGGTCCTCTTGAGCACTCTCCTGCGTCTTCGGGGGGCTCGTCTGGGGAACCTCTCGGCGGGCCCGAGGCCTGCCCCCGCTCACTTCCCCCCCGGGCCAGCCGCCGAAGCTCGTCGGCTGCCCTGGGGATGCCGAAGGCGTCACGACGCGAGCCTGCCGTCAAGTCGGGCCCGTTCCTGAGGAGTATCCCCAAATAGCCAAACAGTAGTCAGGGGACGATTTGTTGACCATTTTTTTTTTTTTTTTTTTTTTTTTTTTTTTTTTTTTTTTTTTTTTTTTTTTTTTTTTGTTTTTTTGATTTTTCATCCACAATCCGCCTGTAGGGGGACATGCCCGACCGAAGCCTGCCGCCGTCCCGCCCGGCTGGCCGCTCCACCCCTCAACCGCGAGCCTCGGAGCCCTATCCCACAGCCAGGGGCCTCTTGGGCGGGCGGGCGCCGCCCTTCGCCGCCGCGGAGGAGGGGTCGAGTGTCGAGCACCGCGTCGGGGCCGTCGGCTAGACAGTAACTTTAAGCCGGGCGTGTCCCTCTACAGGAGGAATATTCCAGAATAGTCACCCAATAGTCTGGGGACGATTTTTCGACTATCTTTGACAATGTTGGGGCATGTTTTGGTCATTTTTCATTTTTCGCCCAAAGTCCGCCTGTAGGGGGACATGGCCGACCGAACAGGAAATCGCTGAAGCTTCCGCTCGTCTTGGATTGGACGTATATCGGCGAAGGGCGCCCAGATGCGCCGAACAGCGCTAAGAGAGCGGCCACAGGAGCGCCGAGCAGGGCTCAGACGGCGACGGCTGGCGACCAATCGCCAACCACAAGCGCCCTGTGAGGGAGATGCAGCCTGTGCCCGCTTGGCGCCCGATCGGCCGCGCTTTCGGGCGCCCTGGGGACGATCGAAAGCCTCCATGCGTTGCTCTGTGACCTCGGGCGTGCGGCTGGCCTCGGGCAGCCCCGGTTCGAGGCTCGAGGTCTTCGGAAGTCTTCGCGTGTTCCAGCAGCAGGTTCTCCAGCCTCGGGGTGCGCCTCGCCGATGGGGCGCTCTGCGGGTGCCCAGATCGTCCCGAACGGCTGCCGGGCACTTGAGCTATGGCATGGAAGCCAGACCTCCTCGCGTCGCGAACAAGAACACGACGGGAGTTCTTGGACAATCTTCGGCCTCCGGGGGCCGTCACCCCCAGGGCCGTGAACAAAAGCGACTCAGGATGAACAGCCAGTCCCTGGGAGGGGGTCCAGACCTTTGGGGGTCCAGGTTGCGAGCAAAAATGCGACGTCGGGGTTTTGGGGCGGCGGCGACCTCTTCATCTCGGAGGTTCATGGGAGCAGCTCCTGGACGTTCTCGTCGTCGCGGTCGGTGTGGGCCCAAGGAGAGGTCCAGGGACCGATCTTGAGCGGCTCTTGTGGGAGGAGGGGGATTTCGGAGGGGGAGGATGAGTCCAACCATCTGCAGCAGTGCCGTGAACAAAACCAGGGCACCATCAGTCGACGCACGCGATGAGCACGATGAGGACCGCGACGCCGAAGAGGAAGGTGGTGAGGGAAGGATGGCCCAGCAAGGACCTTGACGCCTGCCGCTCCAGAGCCAGGCGCCGCCGCCAGCTCCCCGAACGGCTCCACGTCCTCGACGGCGATCTGGTGCACCACCGCACGGCGGCTGTTCCACACGAGGACGCACATACCGTCCTCCACACCTCGGGGTCGCCGTGCAGCGCAGCTTCCGTCACGAAGACGAGCGCGGTCGCTGATCATCCCGCAGGCCCGAGAGGGCAGGGCGGCATGGGAGGCTCGGCTGCGGGGCCGACGAGTCGGCCTTCTCGCCATTGAGGCCGTCGGAGGGGCCATTCAGTACAATTGGCGCTGCGGCGCCTTCAGAAGGCGTCGGTCCGACCTGGCCCAGGTCATTGCCCTTGCCCTGCACCGCGTCGCCCTTCGCGGCGAGCTCCACCTGGCTCTCCATAGCCTGCGCTTTCAGCGCCATCGCTGTCGCCGGCTCCGCCGAGCACGCAACCGCACGTCCACCTCGTCCGCGCGGGCGGCGCCACCGAGGGGCAACAGCGGGCAAGCCGCCGCCGCATGAAGGGGGACGGAGGTGAGCGGCGCTGCCAGCACAACAACGGCCGC